TTTTTTTTTTTTTTTTGCACAGTTGTTTTGGGTACTTGTGGCCATGTTGTAACCCTATGTAATCCCTTGATGCAGGTGTCATATTAGTAGTTGAAGCCTGCTTATAAAGTCTTTGATGTGTGGTGGTAATGTCGTGCAGGAGGCAGGAACAAAACGTTGAAAATGTTGGTGAAAAATTACTTGCTGGCAGCTTGGGACGTCCAGGACTCTTTCACTTGTCATCAGGCTATATTGTCCCCCAAAACTAGAAAAATTCCTTTATTTCGGCTCTTGAGCTGTAGGGTTTCTGCTGCATGTCTTAATATTTCTGCTGGGCTGTTGTTGGGTTGCGTATTGCCACTCAACTTCCCTTTGAATCCAGCAAGTTATGCCTGTCTTCAAATGCCAGCACCTAGGTCCCAAGAGGAAATCTGTAGAGAAATATTTTGTAGTCTGTGTAGTGCAGATACCACCTCACTTTAAAGACAACAGCTCTCTATCTGTATGAAGTTCAATTACAGCACTTGGATATTAACAAGGAATGTTCTCTTAAACCAGGTTATGCGCATTGTAGACAACGTCAGGCCTGATCGTCAGACTGTCATGTTCTCTGCTACTTTTCCCAGAGCTATGGAGGCGTTAGCTCGGAGAATCCTAAGTAAACCTATAGAAGTGCAGGTCGGAGGCAGAAGTGTTGTCTGTTCTGATGTGGAGCAACATGTTGTGAGTATCACACATCTGCCTTGCTCATCTTCTCATTTGCTTGCAAAAGATTATTTCCAGCAATATTGAATATAAACTAATATACCCACAGAACTTTTATTTTTTAGAAGTTTAGTGACTTTGTTAAAGCTGAACTCAGAATAAACTAACACTCTAATCCGCAAATGCAATGTGATCACTTTTTTTTTTTTAAAACTTGTTCTTGTACCACTAAGCTGAACAGCAGTTTTGCCACTAGCTGTGGAAACAGCCTGAAAAAGTCATCTCCTGTTCCTGATTTTTATTTTTATGCACCCTGAATGTGTTTAATGACTGAAGATACAATTTATACTCTTTCTGCTTTGCTTTTGTATGTCTTTTTCCAGATTGTCATAGAAGAGGAGAACAAGTTTTTGAAGTTACTGGAGCTACTGGGACACTATCAGGAGAAAGGATCAGTTATCATATTTGTAGATAAACAAGAACACGCTGATGGGTTGTTGAAAGATTTAATGAGAGCCTCTTACCCTTGCTTGTCTCTTCATGGAGGTAATTTGCAATCTTAAGGATTTATATTAACAACTCCAAACTAGAATATTGGTATTCAGTAGTTATAAAGAATAAGTTACTTAGTTCCTGTATAGTACCAATTATTATTTCTTCCTAAGCAGCTTTTACTTTATAATTGGGAAAGATATTTGTCTCTTAATTTGAAATAGGCATGATAGCTTTCCATAATTACTCTTTATTGTTCCCTGGGAGATGTCATCAGATGCCAAGTCTTGTCTTTGTGCAGCAGGATTGTTACTGAGAGTTAACACCTCTTGGGGAATATTACTAACTACTTGCTGTTGTAGAGCAGTGAATGCCATTGGGGGGAATATTATATGATATTTTTATTTGAGATTCCACAATAATAGCAGCTGTTGTTTCACTTTTCTGCCATCAAGTAGTAATATAACGGCAGTAGTTTAGTAGCAAGAGGAGGAAATCTCTTTAGAATGTTGTCCATCCCAGAGTATTTTAAAACTTTCTATATATAATGCTTTTAAAAATACAGTAACCAATAAGTACAAAACCACTGCTCGTTTAGTGCAACAATGGAAGAGGGAAAAATATGATCATTCTTCTGAGACTTCTATTGCCTTTAGAGAACAGAAAAAACCTCCAGATGAAGTCTCCATTTAATATAAGAAGTCAAATAGAAAATCATATTAAAGAAACTTTTGAGGATCTTGGTATGGGTAAACATCTTTTCATAGTGGAAAAACTAAAAGTTTTGTTATTCTGGGTAGTAGACTAAGATCGATTGTTTGGGCTAATGTATGTTGCCTGTAAAAGAGTGAATGTATTGAAATTTTATTTGCTTAGGCTTTCAGTTGTTTGAGGTTGGAGGGTAGTTTGACCTGTGTACAAATTCTTTTGGCTCAAAGCAGAGCTTTATAATTAACTGTTTTGTCTGGTTTCCTGCAGGTATTGATCAGTATGACAGGGACAGCATAATTAATGATTTCAAGAATGGAATTTGTAAACTTCTGGTGGCCACGTCTGTAGCAGCAAGGGGCTTGGATGTAAAACAGTTGATGCTGGTAGTCAATTATAGCTGTCCCAACCATTATGAAGATTATGTGCATCGAGCAGGCCGAACTGGACGAGCTGGCAATAAAGTATGTATAATCAGTTGCCTTTTGGTTATTACTGAAAATTTTTCCTTATTTATTGCTTGATCAAGGTGTTCCTAAGGCATAGCTACAGAGGGAGTTGTTTACATTATTGGTGGGAAAAGGGTTTTCCTTTAGAGTGCATCTAAGGTTTTTGAGTGATTGTGTGTAAAACATATTCTGAATATTAGCGCTGTGAAGGTTGGAACTTACACGTTCTTCTGATGTACGAACGTTCTTTTAAATCCTGTTTGTGGCTGAAAGTTTGGGTGCTTTTCACTGTTGGAAATGTGCCCTACTAAATTTATAAGATTTTATTTTCCAAACTTTTAACTATGACAAGATTGAAAGGAAAGACTTCAGTTTCTACCATCTGTGGTTGATTGCCTCTGTATCAGCTTCCTGGGAAATGTCACTATTCATTCTACATTCCCACTAAAAAAAGTTTATGCGTGAATATCATAGTTAGTTTTATTGACCAGAACAACTGTGTCTGTGCAAGGGTGCTTCAATAAATTCAGAGATAAAGTGTCTTCAGGGATTTTTCTTTATTATCTTTTAAATTAATTTTGACCAGGGATATGCGTATACATTCATTACTGAGGATCAGGCACGGTATGCTGGTGATATCATTAAGGCTTTGGAATTGTCGGGGAATCCAATTCCTACTGATTTGGAGAAGCTCTGGGCTGACTTCAAAGACCAACAGAAGGCTGTAAGTAATTCTTTCTTCTGTAGTGGGCTTTGGTCTGGGTTTAACGCGTATGCACGTGGGTCCGCTTGTACAGTATACATACATGAGTCATCTCACTGACTTCATTGAGAACACATACGTATGCTTAGGTAAGCGTCTATTTTCAAGATTGGGATCTTGAATGTCATTTACAGGACTGTTCTTGAGAATTTAAATATTGTCATCTGATATGTGATAGAGAAATGCCTACTGTATAAGGAGCACTTTGGTTTTTATCAAAATTCACATAAAAGATAATTAAGTTCTTTCACAGAATTTGTATTATTATTTCTAGAGCTCCTGCCATCAGAGGATCTTGCTTATGCTGAGAAGAGTGACTTTGGAGTTTTTCCATTAGATATTGCTTCTTAAATAATTTCAAAATTATTTGTATAATTTTATAGTTATTTTATGACTATTGGACATACTTCTCAGTATGAAAATACATGTTTTTATTTTCAGGAGGGAAAGTTGATTAAAAAAAGCAGTGGATTCTCTGGCAAAGGTTTTAAATTTGATGAAACAGAACAGGCTTTGGCTAATGAAAGAAAGAAGCTACAAAAAGCAGCTCTTGGCTTGCAGGATTCAGATGATGAAGATACAGCTGTTGATGTAAGCACCTGAAAATAAGATTTAAGTTGCTTCAGGATTTCCAATATATTTGTTTTTTCCCCAGTAGGTTACATAATGTTGCAGATTTTTATTACTCCCATGTCCTATGCTACTGATTTAGTTAAATTGCATGAGTAGTTATGTAAATGTCACAGAAATTCTTTTCTTTGTAATATTAATCTTGTGTAGATGAAATAGAACTATTGCTCTCAATTACAAACATTTTTTACTTGCACTGTTTTAAAGAAATTCATAGTAGCCTTTTCTATTTCTAAATCCTTACTAGATTCCTTTTTTAATGTTTGTTAAGAGTCATTTTTGTGGCTTGGAAAGTAAACACTTATGTTCAGACTTTTTCCTAATGATTAGATGATCTGTTCATATTTCTGATCTGTAGTTCTGGGCAGGCTTCTACCGTTTATATAGGATTAATTTCTTTAAAAGCATGTAAACTAAATGCACTTTAGTGTTTTCTTTCTTTAGGATGATAAGATTATCTAATGGTAAATGCAGTGATGTAATAATAATTATTTTCTTTAGATCGATGAACAAATTGAAAGCATGTTCAATTCAAAGAAAAGAGTAAAAGACATGGCAGCACCAGGAACATCAAATGCTCCTACACCATCAGCTGGGAATGCAGAAAAATTGGAAATTGCTAAAAGATTGGCTTTGAGAATCAATGCCCAGAAGAATCTTGGAGCAGAGGCACAAGTATTGGTCCCCTTCCACTTTAAGGTCAGGCTCTTCAGAGAGCAATTTTTTTCTTTTTCTTTTTCTTTTTTTTTTGTTTAAATAAAAGCAATTCCTTTGTTCTGTGGCTGCCATTTTATTTAGTGCTTCTGCACACTAAAAATATACTGCATTATTTAGCTCATTTGTGCTGGGCTAACTCAGTTACAAGTTGTAGGATTTGTAATTGAGCTAATATGATAATAAGATTTAATACAGAACTGGAGATGCTTTGTCTGCCCTGGCAAAGAGTTAATTCATTACTGATAAAATTACACAATTAGGTTTTGTCAGCTTCAGCAGAGTTGCAGAACATCTCTCTCTGTTTGAAGCATGTGATATACAATCCATTTAGATTTAGGTTAATGTGATCTGGATTGTCCAAAGGTATTTTGAGCTGAAGATACAAAAGACCAGTAAGATCTTTTCTATGCAGATGTGAGGGGAGTTATTGAGAGGAAGGAAAGAAGAGAAAGAGAAGTTTGGAGAACGTATTTATTAGGTGGACAATTATATTACATAAAAAGCTTTAATGAAACCCTTGTTGGTTTATATAGGACTTCTTTTGGCTACCTTGTTCTCAACATGGACCTATATTTTTACAGGATGTGATGCAGCAGGCTACAAATGCTATCCTGAGAGGAGGCACAATTCAGGCTCCTACTGTATCTGCCAAGACTATTGCAGAGCAACTGGCTGAAAAAATCAATGCTAAGCTCAATTATGTACCCATAGAGAAGCAGGAGGAAGAGAAACAGGATGGAGGACAAAATGAATCCTTTAAGAGATATGAAGAAGAATTAGAGATCAATGACTTCCCACAGGCAAGTAACCATTTTGCTATAATCAGGTATAAATGACCATTATTTAACAAAGGCTATCTTCATAGTTTAGACTATGATTATAACAATAAAATATTTTGTCTTTATTTCTTATCATACCTAATTGAAATTACTACATTATCTGTGATTATTTCTCAGTTTATAGATACACAATGCTTTGGTCATATTCCAGAGAATATCAGAAAAACAAGCATTCCTTATCATAAAAAAATCTTTCCACCCTCTGCCACTGACTTCTCTCCTATCTGAATCTTTGACACTGTCTGGCATTTTATTTCAAAGGTCATACTACTGTGACTGATACTGCTCTCTGCTTTTTTATTACCTGAGTATTTTTGCCATTCACAATATTGCTGCTCTAGTCTACCTCATCTGTTATTTTGAGCATTTATATTCCACAGTATCAAGCACAAATTCCTTGTATTTATCTTTGAGGTTCTGACCATGTTTGCCTTATTTTATCAGGTGGTTGTGTTATTAGTTTGTTACCCTTCCCCTCTCAGAAATCCTCTTAATTCTTATCCTAAGCGGTTTCTCATTCATAGAACATGTTCTAGATTTTATAATTTTGCTAAGGATCTTTCAAACCCTTTAAGGATACGCTTGCTAGGTACAAAGCATTGCCTGCTCATAATGGCTAGACAAGTAACTGTTCTGTTGTCTGCATGTGTGTGTCTGCAAATAAATAAATTGTAGATCTTTAGATTTTTTTTTTTTGTAGAGCTGCACTAGAAAAAACAGCTCTCTTCTGGTCTTCTTTTTGTTGTTCAATATTTTGTAACATTTTCTCTGAAATACTGATGTATATATGGCAGTTCATCAGTGAGAATCACCACTGCTCATTATGTCCCTGGAAAATCTCTATAAGGAAGTGGGACTCATCTTGTACTGTATGCGTGTATAACACGGAACACAGTGCAGAGCTGAGGTGACAGAGATAAAGTAAGATAAAATGATCGCCTAAAGCAAGAATGACAGCTGACTCTGTAAACTGGTTTTTATAGCAGTACTACACAACCATTCAATACCATCACGTGTCAGATACGCATAGGGTAGGCTTCCCGATTACGGGTGCAGTCATTTCTGAGAGTCAGATTAATGCAATTGTCTCAGTCTACAAGTAACTTAAAAACGATCTACTAGATGCTTTCTAGTAATTTCATTGTCTAAATTAATGGGATGCATTTATCATAATGAAGTATTTTTGAGGCTATTGTAGAGATTTGGGACAATTTTTACAGGGTTTTGAGAAACAACTGGCAGTGTTTATTCCTTAGGCTTTATTTATGAAGATTTTAAGGTTTACTTATTTTTGTCTTTAACCAATGAACTATGTAGACATAAATAGCATTTATTTTGTTAAAGGGAAGTACTTGCAGCCATTAACAGGGTATGTTTGCCCTTGAAGTCTATTCCTGTACAAAAAGTGCTAAATAAAATACTTGAGTGCTGCTTTAGAAAATCGCAAGAAAAAATAACAAGTTTTAAACTTTCAGTGTAGCAAAATGGAAGGTCTCTATAGAGTTCTTGCTTCAATAGTACTATGCATCCATTCTCTTTTCTCCTTCTTCCATAACTTTATCTTGCTGACATAAGAGGCAGATGTTTTTTAAATATACTTGCATAAAAATAACTGGCTAAAATTTCAGTCTACATTTTTAAAGTAGAATGCCATGACTGATTTTCACAGTGCAGTGTTCTTGTTGTTTGTCTAAAATGTCAACTAACCTTTGGATTGCCATTTTGTGTGATGCCTTTCTCCTCATTGATCCTCCCATATCCTTTGCCTTGCAGACTGCCAGATGGAAAGTTACCTCCAAAGAAGCACTACAGAGAATCAGTGAATATTCTGAAGCTGCCATTACAATCAGAGGAACTTACTTCCCTCCAGGCAAAGAACCCAAGGAAGGAGAACGAAAGATTTATTTGGCTATAGAAAGTAAGTATTCTTTTTATAAATGTTTCACTTAAAGAGAGGAGTCTAGTTTTGTAATCAGATATGGAATCTCTGTAGTTGTAGTGTTCAGATGCTCAGTTACAGACCCACTGTAGTTAACTTTGCAATTACTAAAGAAACAGTCGTTTATCTTAATACACTTTGTCAAGTGATCCATGGCGATCACAGAGATGCTTCTCCTCATAAGACTGACTTGCCACAGAACAACAGCAAACATATATGGAATCAGTTTTGGAGGAGATGGAAAGAAAAGAGAGGGGAAAGAAAAAAAGAATAAGCACAAAGATGTCTGTGCCCCTGTTAAATAAGGAAGAAAATGGATTGGGATGGGGGGGGCTGGCTGTTAAAGGTATAAGAAATTACATCAACTACCACACAAAAACTTTGCAAATCTCATGATGGTTGAGTAAAGTTTTTCTCAAAGAAACCTCTAATCCTAGGTATTTCTGAATAATGTAATTTATGACTGCCTGTTTTAAATATCTTCCTTAAAACAGAACACAGTCTAGCCGTGGCAGTCTGTACAATACTGGAGTGTTCTTCAGCAAATAGCTGAGGATATTCAGCAAGTTTTATCTGAAAATAGCAAGGAGTGTTTATTCTGTGGGCTTCATATACAGAAAATGTTTAAGATGGTAATATTTTCTTGTCTTCAGGTGCCAATGAACTGGCTGTACAGAAAGCAAAGGCAGAAATCACACGACTTATAAAAGAGGAACTCATCAGATTGGTGAGTGAAATATCCGGAATGCAGAGGGAAAGTGCCTTAATTTATGCTTTGTGAGATTGATTTCTACAAATGTTGACGCTCTGGCATATATTTTCATTAATATCAGGGGCTGGGACCTATAGATCTCAAAAACATTGTTTCATTGAACAGCCTAGAAAATATATTGCTGTGTTCAATCAGCCAGACATACGGCTATTATCCAGCCAGCAGATGGAGATAACACATTAACAGAGCTTTTTGAATGAAGACCCCTTTAAGAGTTAGGTCCCAATAAATTTCCTAATTTCAGCACCATCAGGCAGGGGAGAGGCGAATTATTCCCCTCATTTTAATACTTTATATGTGTTGAGAGATTTGTTTTGCCATAACTTCACAGTGTACCCAGCTAATAATCGTCTGTGTTCAACATACTCTGTTTTCAAATAAGATACTGTCTTGAGAAATCGTATTTTGAGTTCTCTGGTTGAGGAAACCTTGGCTTTCTCTAGAATAACCTTCAGTGATACTACATTAGACTTGACAGTGTCTTTGGCTTTTTCTCTTAAGTAGCCGTTCAAATCAGCAGTCAATTCCAGTGGTCCTGCTGTGAGCCATTATTGATAGTTTTGGGGTTAGTTTTTGGTTTTGGTTTTGTTTTGTTTTTTGTTTTTTTTTCAAAATTGTTGACCTTCCCATAAAAATGGTTTTCCAAAGGAAGGCGATTGCTAAGGAATTGCTAATGTACATGTAATGTGGATTTAGTGAAATTCATTTATCCCTTTTCACTTCAAACTGTGATTATGCTCTTCTTTATTTGCAGCAAAATTCATACCAACCAACCAACAAAGGAAGATACAAAGTTCTATGAGTATTTGGAGTTATCTGTCTGCCAGTGGCTGGTGCGTGAAACTTTGTGGCTTCTGTTGTTTTTGCTGTTTACACTGCTTATTGTAAATTAAGAATTTTTTTATTTTGTCTTGCGGACATTTTTTAACAGAAAATTGATACTTGCTGAAACATCTTAATTCTCTCCACTAAAGTTATCAGTCTTAAAGCAGACCAGTTTTGGCGGAGCATGATTTAATTTAAAATTGCAGTTTATATACTTTTCATCATAAAGAATATAAAATAAAACAGATTTTAATTTTTCTGACAGACTATACTGTTAAGTAAATTAAACAATGTTGGGATTTGTGTTGGAAATTGTTAGAATGTACCTGCTTCATATTGTGGGGATGATTCATGCCATATCAGTTTATACTGGAAAAATGATAAAACACCAAAATAAAAGCAGGCTTTTCTCCTGATCCATAGCATCTCTCTGGCTGGTTCCACACACATTCGTTCCCTGTACAAATGTCCCCCTAAGGTCAGAGAGTCTTGCAGTGATCAGAGTAGAGAATTTTATCCAGAAATACTTGAGGTCTAGTTTTAAGATCTTCTTACCCTTTTCACATCCCATGTTGTCTTTATCATCCAGGTAATAGAACAACTCTTCGGGGTTTTTGTAAAGTGAAATGTTTTGTAGTATGAAAATAGTTTTCCTGTTTTTTTCTAAACATCAGAATTTTAGGATTTTATTTTTTTCCTCATTCTCTGACATAAGAATGAAAGCCTGTTTAGTTTAAAAAGAAATTCTCAGAAAAAAAGAGAAACCTCTTTTGTAATGGAATACGACTTTGTCACTTTTTTATAGTATTCTTATATATACATTTAATGTGATTTTTTTCCCCCAGGGTTGTCATCTTTATTACTGTTAGGACATGGCTTTAAGTAAAAATGAATAATATTTATGAGTGAATTCCACAAATATTGACTATCATTGCAGTCAATAAGCTACTGGGACAAGACCTTTGTTTTTGAGGTCTCATCCCCGTAACCATTAGTATTCACGATGGATACTTACTACTCTTAAGCATTTAACTTTCCTGTCTACTTATCTGGAGCCTAAGCGGTAGCAATTGAATCGTCTCATTCTAGCAGCTGCAAGACTTTCAAGATGATGACTTTCAAAAGGACTTTTGTAGAAAGCTTTTCTTACCTGACACATTGAGAAGAAATGTGTCATTTTAAAACAGCTGTGTATATACTGCTTTAACCCTGGTGAAGACAAATCATACATCCTGCATCATGGCTGTATAAATTCACAACTTCTATTTCCCAGCTTCAGGTAATTTAAATGACTATTTCTGTTTGCATACAACTGTCTGTTACTCTAATGTCAGTGTACCTTATTTGCAATACAGGAAATGAAAAGTAATGATTATACCAACTTAACAGTATACATATAGGATAAGAACACCCAATACTTGCCAATATTAATACATTGAGTAGAACAAAGAGAAGAAGCACACACAATAACACTTCTCAAAATTTAAACCAGAAATCTCAAACTAAAGCCCTATGGTTCCCTTTAAATACATTGGGTTTCCTTCTGTTAAGAACTGGGTTTTGCTATGTTTCATACAACTTGTTTGTTGAATTGTCTAACTTTTTGACAGTGTACCCCCTGAAGAGTGACAGATTTTGGTGTATTTAATGAAGAGCACTTTCAAGTTTGGACAGCCTGACACTTCTTTAAAAACCTTGTTTCAAAATGTTCATATATATATATATTGGTATCTCCTAAAAACGGCATGACGGAGACATTTTTTGTGATTTCCAGCTTTGCACTGTTGGATTTCAGAGATGCAACAATGTATAATCTTTAACTTCCTGGGGTTTTTAAATGCAATGTCAATATTCCTATGTTTTTTAAATTCCAGCAAAAATAAAAATAATTTCAATGTATATTTTTCAGAAACTGTCTTTCTGAATAGCTCATCTGTTTTCTGCACTTACATTGCTTCTCTGTTTTTTCCTATGACAGTTAACCTCATACTTTTTGGAGTAGGGTGATGTGTAGAGTAATTAGTGCTTGTGTTTTTCTGCTTGAAATGCAGTGAGATGCAGCTCTGACTCAGCTAAGAAAGTCACAGTGAAGGTGTTTGGATACGTGAAAACAGGAGCGAAATGTATGTAAGCCAGAGGAGAAGAAACTCTGAAATTAACAAATACATAAGGAAAAAATAGTGGAAACAAGATGAGAATAAAAGTTTGGAGAAGACACAAGTAATGAAAAATGTTATATTTAGTTCTTTCCAAGTGTTTCCATGGATATAGACAAGATCTTTATGAACATCCCAGTTTGGCTGCTTTCCAGGGAATCTACCCTGGACAGATTGCTGTCACCAGTTCTTGGAAGAGCACAGGGATGCTGTATTTCTTTTTTTTTTTTTCTGTTTGTTAATGCACATAAGCAGAGCTTGTTCTGTTATCTGCCCAAGGTGATACACTACCAGCTTTCTAGGTTGCCTTACACTTTCAGTGCTTGAGTAAACAGTGGTATTTGGGGTGGATTAGTGATACAAGTATTTGATAGTGGATCGTGAATGAGTTTCTGCACGTGTGTGGCAGTAATGCAGTGTTGACATCATGCAGTGGAGGTGGTGAGGGGCAATACTCTGGGAGTGTTGCTGTTCTCAGGGGACAGGACACTGGCACTTTTTGGTGGCAGTGAAGTAAGAGAGAACTGCTGTGTAGGTGAAGGTCTGTGAATCTGGAAGAGACGGTGAGCACCGGGAGTGGCTGGAGGCACAGAAGGGGAGCCCTGTGCCATTGTTTTCTATGGCAAACCTCCACCACAGCCTGAGGTCCTGGCCCCAGTGGGTCCACATCAGAGGTTAGGGGAGGGAGAGAGCAAGACTTTTGATCGCAGCCCTGCTGGCTCCCTTGTTCTCTGTGCAAGTGGCCCACCAAAGACTGAAACAGCAATATTCCTCACTGCGTTGTGAAATGTTAATACAGACATCCCATCTGTTGCTGTGGTGGCCGTTTGCACGTGAGAGCTGATGCAGCACGTCAAGCTACTCTCTGTACGGACGTGAGTGGGCAACTGGGCAGAGGTTTTGCTCTGTGCCCTAGCCAGGAAAATGGGAGAGGAGGACTAAATCCAGTGTTCTGGGTGGGAAAGACAGAACTCACAGCAAGATGAAAAATGTGTGCAATCACGGTTCAGAATTTTATACTACCCTAACGATATTGCACATCGCCACCACTCTTTGTTTCGTTAAATAGGCAGCTTAAGGCTTGCTTTACATGTTAGTCTTTATGCTGTAAAAGTTGTAACAAAAATGTAATGAGTGTAGATCACAGCCTGGCACGTTCCATAGCTGTTCCCTGTCCTGGCTGCTTGAGATTTTACTTGTACAATTAAAGTGGTGCAGTCTGTTTAATGTGCATTTGGCTGCTAATTAAATAAAAGATTCTGAAGCTCAAAGTGCCATCTGTAGGAGCTTTTCTCACTCGAGTCTTCCAAGTGGAAGACAAAAAAAATAAAGATTTTTAAGCAAAGCTTTGCTAAAATTCTGCAATTGTAATAGTCAAACATAAAACAAACACCAAAGGCTGGATCTAGGATCTTCCTAAAATAAGAAAAAGAATGCCAGAGTCTCAGGGAGAGAGACTGCACTTTGTTATTTCAGTTCTTCAGACATGTTTACATTTGTAAGAAATGGCAGTTACTTCAGTGAAAATAGTGACAGGCTTAGAGAGACAGGTACGTGTATCTGTGAGAATGGAGCCTGTGTAACTTGCTAGAATTGGTTTTTAATTTTCTACTGTGGACACATACTATCAATGTTGTGTTTCTGAACACCTCCATTAAGAGAGCCTTTTCTAAATTTGCCTGAATGCCCTTAAATAGGCTGGTGAGGTGGTTCTCAATGTGAATGTTGGTGTAAAACCAGCCCTTGCCACAAGCCTGCTTGCAGAGAGTTACTCGTTCTGGCCTCCTCACGTGACGCTCAAGGAATGCACTTTCCTTTGATTATTTTTCTTGACCCAGATCTCTTCCAAATATGGTCTCAGCTTAAACAAGTTTGTGTTCTTAGAGCTCGGGCGTTTGCAGAAGAAATTCTGGCTTCCAGCTAACTGTGGCTGTATGGGGGGAGTGGAGGCAGAGAGCAACCAAAAAACGTAAAGATAAAAGGCGCACAGCTGGACTCAAATTTGTCCCCAAATGTACATTTTGTAAAATGTTTATACAGTGCTAGAAAGGAAGATTTGTTTTCATAATTTTTAGCTACAGTGGAAACAATTGTTTTTAAATAAATGACCATTAGTCTGAGTGATTGCCACCCAAACATTGCTTCTCTGAGACTTCTCATCTGAAACAGATTTAAATATTTTTCTTTAGTCAAAGGGAAAGATACAAAATTGTCAAGCTGACCAGCATAAGCAGAGGTAAATTAATTAGTATCTCAGAACTAAGTAGTTCTAGTGAGCTAAGAAATTATTAATAACCTACTGTGGAGTGAGCATATGATTCTTAAGTTATTTTATACTTTGGCCATTCCAAGTACAAAGTTCATCATCACAAACGTGTTTCTCAGACAATAAATACCAGTGGGCAACTGTTCTGAAACTAACTGCTGAGCAAGGAAAATGTTACACTTAACGAAAATCCTTCATCTTAACTAAAACCTACGTTTCCTGTGCCTGTGCATGTTAGCAAACGAGTGAATCTGTAGAAATTATCAGCTCCAATAATTCATAGTTAATAGACAGGAGGTCGTGGCAGTTATGGTGCTGAATTCTCCCGGCTTGCTCAGCGCGCTGTGTAGCTGAGGACTGGCGAGAAGGTCATGCATTGGCAGAAGAAGGAACTTGTGATTTTAGGCCCTTCCTCTCCTTGAAAATTTGGATCCATGAGTGAGATCTCTAGTAAGGGAGGAGGGGAATGGGACTTTGCGGTCTGGACGTAGGAAGGGGCAGCATTTCGTTGCATCTTTTACCTTACAGGTAATTAATGTAATCATTTGCTACTGCTAGCAAGAGCAGTCCTTTAGAGAAAGAAAAGGAGGAAGCAGATGCGCAACCTGAGTAGCAGCCGTGCTTCAGGTCCTGGGGAGATTTCACAAAACAAGACAGTTGCAGACCAATTTGTCTTTTGTTTGGTTCCTGTTTTTATTAGCACAGCGTGCGGATGAGGAAACTGGACCCTGTTGCTACCAGATTAATATTTGAGCACTGTAGGCATCAGAGCTGGCTCATCTGGCGTGGGTTTGCCTGGAGCACAATACAGAGCAGTCACACAGAGGCAGCACCCTCATG